CCGTCAGAGTCGTCCGCAGTTGCGGCGCGCTGCTGCACGTCTTCCGAATCGTTGCCCTGGATGTGTTGTTGCTGTTGCTGATGGTGATGATGATGGTGATGGTGATGGTGACGATGATGGTGATGGTGGTACTTGGGATGGAGCGTATGCACGGCCGGCGGCTCGTGCAGATCGAGCACGTTCACCGGTTGCATGGTCGCCAGCAAGACCTGCTCGTTCTCGTTTTGATTTTGGTTGCTCAGAGAGGAGGACGCTGGTGAAACTGGTGCCTCCTGCACCTGTAACGTAGATAGGTACGGTTATGCAGTGTGTATCGCAACAACCGCAATATAGCGCCATTTCGATTTGTCGAATAGATTTTGGTATCACGATTGTTAATCGGGATATTCCAATGCATTGCATACAATGATCGTATATAACGATTTCGCTATCACACCAGATGTATTTATAGCATTATTTTTTATCACGCCGGATTAAGGTGGAAGAAACGAACATTGTGAAATTATCTCTTATAATCGAGCGAAGGTATTGTGATTGCATTTCATCGAGTATTAACGAGACACCTTGATCTTTGCGCACACAATGCTCCGATCGCGCCCCGATTTTTTCTTCCTACCGAAACGGCGCGTTCGCTGTCGATCGCCGCCCATGTGCACACGCAGGTCTGGATTAAATCATTTACAAGTACAATGATAACGAAGTTAAAACACAGCGCGCACAGCCGGCATTAATTTATTAATCGCATTAACTGGCGCGCGGTTTACGACATTGGGATTTATACGCCCGAGCGAACTCCCGGTGTCCCGGGCAACACCATATGTATGTTGCAATAACCTATAACATTTTCGAATGCTAATAACTGTGCGCGATAGAAATTATATTAATATCTTCTCGCGCGGTCCGAAGCACGAAGCGTTTCGTACCGCCAGGCATCCTTTCGTCGTAATTAATCGCCCGTGCGTTCATTGCTTGTAACACACGCGCCAAGAAATTCTTTCAAAGTGTTCTGTTCGAAGATTGAACGATCATTAGCGCGATCTAGGTCCACTCGCGACTTGTCACGAGACTATCGCGAGGCTATTGGTCATTTTTGTCGCGAAATTCAGGAAGAATTGCCTCAGTTTTCATTTCTGAGAAGCCGGTGATCCATCTTCACGCAACATCGTCGGCATTACTTAATTGCTTTCATTAACGTTTTATTTGCTGCGATTTATATTATCCTCCCCCTCCAAAGATTACGTGATATGTTTTCACCGAGTCTCTGAAAGATAATCATGCGGAAAACTGAACCACGAATTAAGTGGAACACATCGGGAAATAATGACGTTAGATAATTTCATTTTCTTCTTCTACAATGAAAATATTCAACGCATTTATTTCGCGAATGTGAGAGAAGATTTCAATTTTTGAGAAATATTTTCTCCTTCGTTGATGTTTGATAAAATTGCAAAATTATTCATGAATCTTTGCGAATCAAAAGTTTTAGAGATTGAGTATCGCGCGAAGGGAAGTCTCTTGAGATTTTACTAAAATTATTATTGAAAATATATTACGCGTAAAACAGATATCCTACATAAGTATACTTAATGGTCAGTTAAACGGTGACGGTCGCATTACTGATGCACTTATATCCTAGTATTCCCGAAGTTGGCGCGCATGGAAACCTCTGTGACCCGCATGAATAAGAATACGGTACAGTAATGACGTCGTTTGGAATTTCCCACGTGTCGCCGGATTATCGTGCTTTCTAGCCAGTAAGTTATGGCGCGAAGTCTCTCTCCTTCTCTTTCTCCCCTTTTTTTTTATCTTTTTTTCCTGGTAGAACCTCCGAGACCTCGAGAGCTGCCCGATGCCACACAGTCACCGCGGCATCATTCGTAACGTGACAGCAAAGCGACGTGGCAGTGCTATTAAGGCCCGTGCATATTGCAGCAGCCCGTAGCCGCAGCGATGGGTTCCGTCAATTAACATAATTAACAATATTATGAATCATCCTCTTAGTGTTCAGGCGCCTCGCGCGTGGTGCTGTACGTGAATTACTCACGCCGTTAGCCTAAGCGCAAAAATTTACTCTTTTTCTCTTTTTCTCTGCTTCCTCGTCTCTTCGGAAAGTATCCTTTTTTCTTCTTTATTCATTTTCTACGGGACTTAATCCTAAGTGTCACCGGTTCCTATATTTTCTCGCGTTGACCGTCGTAAATTCACCCGCTGATGAATAATCGCGATTCTACGATTAAGCGCGAGGATTAGCGCGATGAAATACGGTCGGTAGGTACGAGTAAAATTGTTAATGGATAAAGGCGAGCCTCTGAATAGACCACACGTGTCTCCACGAGCCAAGGTAACAATGTTTATTTCACGATTATGACTTTCTGGCATACATGCCTGACAAACTTATTATTAATAACATCGTAATTTCACGCCTTTTGTCTGCTTTTTACGCACAGTATGATTTTATTTTCGGAGGCCTCTCTGAACTACGTTATTTGAATCTTTTCTCTGTATATGTATCTATAATTCTAAATTAAACGCGTTGTATTAATGTTAATTCCGATTATGTAGGTAATATCATTACAGATGTTGTATGAACACTTTGCATCTTCGCCATCAACATAATATCGACAGATATACAGAAAGAAAAATTTTGCTGAAATATTAAAAAATTTAATTAGATACAAATCTGAAAATATTTTTGTACCCTCAAAATAATTATGAAACTTAATAGGAAACTTAACATGACGATCAGTGTTGCAAAAAATTGTGATATTCTAGCCAGCTTGTGCGTCCTGCTAATTATTTTGATAATTCAACAAAATTATTTTCAGATGTGCATCTAACTAACTAAATTTTTAGATATTTCAACAAATCCGTTCTTTCCTTATATGCACTTTTATTTTTTACATAGATAGCTAATATTAAACAGAGAACGTACGTATGACGATTTTATGTTTTATTAATAGTTAATTCTTTTCAAAATATTGACGTTATGTTAAAATCATGCAGAAACGCGAGGAATTTGTACACAACTCAATTTTATTTTCGTCTTTTACTGTGCCAGTAAATTTTATATAGCTCTTAAAATCATGGCTCATAGATATCAGGCATTGTGTCGTGAACATGTAGTGAACGAAACGGTCCTGATGTAACGGTAATCGTACGGATGTTGTAAAAACGTCATATCGCCGCAAGTAATTTTGCGGTTTCGCGAATTTCGACCGCTGCAACGCGCGTTCCCTCGTAATTCCTCGATGTCGTTAGGAATCTCCGCAGATTCATTACTAAAGTCGTCGAGCTACTGAGGTACTGTATCCTTGACATCGCACCGTCGCGACACGCTTCATCGGCGGTGTCAGGGGTCCCAGATACGCCGGCTGGAGACATTAATCAGCCCGACCCGCAGCGAGTCGCGACTGCGACACGAACCTCCCGCGGTCGTTACACGACGTTAAGTACTCTGCAATACGAATACCCAGCCGTGTACCGACTTCATTCGAAATCTAATCCCACGTCAGTCGATGAAATTTATCGCGCTCGCACGGCCAGCGGGATCGAACATAGCCGTTCAACGATGATCCGCAGGAACCGCGTATGGATTCATTCATTTTTATTGCATTTTTCATACAACGGGGATGTAAATGGCAGTGGGCGATCAGCGTAAAAGTATCTTTTATGATCCTGCTGTTACCTTGCGGTAGGTTATCACCGCACTTATCGATTAACATTTAATCACTACAAGAGTCAGTTGATCTAATCTGCATCTTGTAGCGTATAGATTAGAATAATCCGTTAAAGATGATTTATTTGTTTTAGACAATACTATTAACCTGAAATAGTCACCTGCAGTAAGAAAAACATACTTCAAAATATTTATTTGTGAGAAATGTATTTGTTTTATTGAAATAAATCTTTATTTAAATAAAATTTTAATTCTGGCAAATAAGCCATCTATTTTATTTTTTTTTTACAATTAATGGGATATATTTCACAGAATATATATTTGTCATCATAATCAAATGTATATTCAAAAATATATATTTTGTCATCAAATTTTTTCATAACTAATAATTATCGAAGAAAACGTCGTAAGTAATATTTGCTTCGCAATACTTCAACATTTTCTCTTAGTATTTCGTTTAATATTTGTTTTCTATTTACTTTTTTCAGAAAATTATGGTTAAATCCATATTCATAATGTTCTCAAAGTGGTATTTTCAAAAACGGTGGACACCAGAACTATCACAAATTTCATTCAATGTTTTGAAATTTTATTGAGTTATTGTCAATTGAATTATCTAAAGAAATACCTTTTTTTGCGATAACTTATATACTTTTTTGTAATCCTTTTTTTTTATGTCGAATTTTTACGTGAAAATTGAACTTTTTTTTCATGCATGCACCATTTTCACATTTTTCAATATTTTTTAATTCTGCCAAATATTTCTCTAGCAAATTTAATGCAGATTAAAAATAATTTTTTAATTTTTAGCTACAGCATATCTAGGACCTGTTCTGCTGTCCACCGCGAATGCCTTCATCACATGTAGGCCTCCAAAAAATGTGCTGCAGCGCCGCCATTTTGTTTTTTATAATTATAATTTTTATTACATTTTGTACATCAAAGTACAAGCAACAAATAGGTATAAAAAGATTTATTGTATCATGTATAGTTTTTTAATAATTACCTCCCAAAGTAAGGTATGATTTTGAGCCTTCAAGGTGTAATAATCCCTTAAAAGTACAATTTAATCCGGTGAGTCTAACAATAATTCTGAATTCATTGAACTGTTACATTGTGAATTTGTTACACAACGTGGAAGAACAGCTTTTTTACAGTTGTGTCATCCGTTCAAGACTCATCCTTTAATAATGACAAGAAACACTATCATTAAATTTATTTCACAGAAATAAGGACAACCATTCCTCGCGTATTGTTCGAACGTTGTCAAATCGCGACAAAACTTCTGAACAAGACGAACGATCGCGATTTCGCGAATAGCTCGAAATGATTACCGTGAATTCTACGGATCGTTGTCGCGCGGCAACTCGTTTAAAATGCTGCGCGTCCTCTTTACACGCAAGAAGTTCTTCATAATAACAGTTAATTGGCCGGTTGGTCTGCGCTCGTAAGAGTTCGTGCCGGACAGTAGTCCAACGTGTCTGTCGGTCGAATGGTTCGTCCGTCCATGGCTAAAACTCGCGGGTATTCGAACGTCTCTCTCGTTTCTTACTCGTTTGTCGCCGTAGGCTGCGAATCGCGCGCGTACATCCCCCTTGCAACGTGCAGTTATTGCCGATCGCGACGTAGTACACAGCTGCGTGCAACGCGGATGTAGATACGTGGAATCGTTAGATGCTTTTCTTTCGCGGTACTGTACGTATCTTAAGGGTACGATCCTCGTCCGTTTGCCGTAACAGTCGGAATATCCTCGCGATTCGCTTTTTATTATCGTAAACATTATCGCTCGTATTACCTCTAGCGAGGATTGCTGGCGTCTATTAGTCTTCGACTTGTAAAGGAAGCGATTTCATTAACCGTTAACTGAATTAACAAATAAATGAAACTTGATGAAATCGGAATGAATTAAAAATCTAATAATCATAAAAATATTTTCCTTCCTTAAACGATAAATGTAAGTCAGGAATTTTGAGCCTTGAGCTGCAAATTATGTTGTGTCTTTTTATATGCTATCGTGCATCTAAATAACGGCTCGTAAAGCAACTTTTTTTTCATCGCTTTATGTGGTTAATATTCTTAGTCGTAAGAAACGTTAGTCTTAACTTGAATGTGTTAATTGCGGCAAAAATTGATTGTGATTCCAATGAAATTTCTTTTGGATTACTGTTCATCGAATATAACTCAATATAGCTTGTTTATATATATTGCCTCCAATAATTGTGCAGTGACGCAGCTCAAATAACATTACTGCAGCTAATTAGATATTAAGTATTTCGTAAACTTCTGATACAAAATGTGAACTTCTGATTAAAATCTGATTTAAATTTATTAATCTTGCACTCACATCGGACGGCTTATTTAATTAACGTCATTGTTGATTATCGCTTATCATCCACTCATCATGCTCTCCCCTTTTTGCCGCGAATTTGTTTCGTAAGTAAAATATTTTGGCGTCACGCCAATGTGCATGCTTATTTTCGATACATTTTTCTTACACGCTTTCAATCTCGTTTTTGCAGTCGGTATGAGTCATTTGAATCAAGAAAAGATTTGCGTGCACGAATTATAGGGACTTGCCTTGTCTTTTTTTTTTCTTTTGCCTACCGCCCAATAATGAATCGGTTAACGAAAAAGTTAATGAAGATACAAAATGACCAGTCGTTCGGAATTCTATTAAAGAGCCTTTACTTCTTATCTCCATAATGAACGGTGCGATCATCGACGAAGGTTCCCTTCGTTTGACCATCAGGTACGAGAAATCTGAAGAGTCATCACCGCGCACAGCGAATCTCTTCGTTCAGTCCTGTCTACAGGTAGATAGGTAGATTCCTTCGTATATACGAAGAGACGGATGAACGATTAACGTATCGTTCGTTTCTACATCTCAGAATGTCGAAGTCTCGTAAGGACATTAACGTTTACAACATACACATTTACAATAACGAAAACCAGACGCGATCGTCCACGTTCCGATGAAGAAGCGCGCGGGTGTTCTCTTTCTCGATCCGGAAGCGCGATAATATTTACACGGCTACTTGAACACCCGGTATGCTCGCGCACTGCGATGCTTGTCGTAAACGGATTTAACCGCGTATTAAAAGGCGCCAGACGCAGGTGCGAAACGAGTCGTCCTTATTTTCGTCTTTTCATGAGATTTATGCACGCGTATTTGCACGCAACGCTTAAGCAGAGTAAAATGCAAATGAATTTTTTTTTATTAGTCTTTGTTACAATGTTCACCGATGGTGTTTTAAATAAAATCACCTCGTGATTTTTCTCACTTAAAATTTTTCCTCGCTTAAACGTTTTATTTTATTATCGCGATATATCTTATAATCGCGAAACATTTTTGGATTTTTTAATGGTGTTACTTATATTTATATAATAATGATAATTATCTTGATCTGTAATTATAATGTTATTAGGAGTGAAGGAGAAAAAAAAGATAAAAAAGTTTCGTTTCCTTGATCAATTTTTAAGTTGTCATGCTGTTGATCGTTGTCTTTATATTCTTTTTATTGTTAAATATGAGATAAAAGTTAAGAAGTTAAGAAGTCTTTGGTCTTGAAATATTCAATCCATTTTATAGAGGTCACGAATCGCGCGCAGTAAGCAAAATGGGTCCATTATAAGCCCGAGGGGATTTATCCATAAACCGTCGAGCTATTAATGTTCCTGGAGAATGGCTTACGCGCCATACTCGTGTTTCTCGTTGCAGAACGTCGTATCGCGAGTAACGGGGCTGATCAATGCATTTCACTTTCGAGCAGCGAGGCTCTTTGAAGCTACAAAAACCCGAAGCTACCCGCGGCGATTTGAATTAAATTTTCATGAAAGCACACACATTTCTTTGCCCTCGAAGATTACCTTATTATTACATCGGAAATGAGTTTAGTCAATATCACAATTGAAAAAATTTCTTGAAACAATTGTTCAATAGATTTCTGTTTGAGAAATTTGAAATATAAAAGATTTCGACTATTAATGAAGCGTTAGATATAACAAAAATATTTCAGCCATTAAAACAAATAATAAAATATAAATACTTTAGCATATTCGATATAGTAATACTTCTTGTAAAAAGAATTTTTTCTTAAAAAAAAAGTTTTAAAACTCCGAACTATCGTAGTCCTAAAAAGCTGATTCTTTCCCATATAGCGAACTGACATTATTTACCATAAATGACACTATAAAGACGTCATTTTGACGTCAAACGGCGATAAATAACGTTAGCTTGTTACCTTTGAGCTATATTATTTTCAAGGTTATTATTTCCAAGGATTTCGCTTCTTATACCATCAAAATTGAAAATTCATAAATTTATGTCACAATTATTGTCATTTAACATTAATAACAGACTTGACAGATTATGTTTTCGTGTACAAACAGACTTGTAACTTATTGTAAAACGTTGGCATCTCAGAAATGTTCCACAAATTCTCTTCATGACCAGTAATAATGCTTCGGTTCATCCTCATTATTTTGCGCTACGGGTGGTTGTCCGGATAAATGGAGAAAGGTGATATGTGTGTGAGTGAATGAACAATAAAAAGAAGCAAAGAGAAAAAGGAAACAGGCAGACTAAACAATCTATGTGGTGGATTATATTATGTAAATGTTTAGCTTAGAAATGTTATTGTATTTCTTCAGTTTGCGTAATATAGAAGTAAACAATCGTTATATATTCTTCGAGTCCTTTTAAAAGTCTATTGGAATAAAGATAGAGAGTTTAATTAGTCGCCATTATTTGCGTTGCGACAATAAAATGCTAGTTCTAAAAATTATATATTTTCTATAGATTTTACATTGTTGATTACTTAGACTTGCTGATTTGATTTTTGTATATCAATTTAATATAAAATGAATCTGATTTTAATTGACTTATTAAGCTATAGCTGTATTAACCCTAGCCGACCACCCTTGAGTCCAACATACCCTATGCAATTTTTCACATTTCTGTAACTTTTTTATAATATAATTTGAAGACCCGGATTGAAGCTCAAAAAAAATTTTAACTGTCCATATAATAAGCCTGTAAGGGTTTTTTTTGCGTTATTTTCGATGAGAATGTACGAAAGTTCAAAGAGGATAATTGGGATCTACACGTGACCAGCTTGTAAGTTTTCGGCATTCTGGGTATCCCTTTATTTTTATTAAATATACGTTTGCTGAGTTTCGGATAGTATAAAAGTAAGTACACGAAAATTTAGAATTAAAAAGAATTATTTCAATATAATAAACAGTAGAAATTTTATAATCTCTCAGTCTCCTCAGAGATCGCTGGGGCGGATGTATTGCTTCAGACCGAGTGTTGCATCATCCTCTAAACTAACTTTTGTCTTGCATAATTATATATACTATAATAATATTTATACATTACAATCCTTTATCTACCATTTTATATTATTCAAATAATAATATTTATTAATTGTAAACTTATAATATGTACATTTTTCTTAAATGTCGATTTTCGATAGTTCAAATAATTATACTTTTTTGAGCGATTCATATCGTTTTTTTTTGTTAGTCCAAAGAGTCAACTAAAAAAATCCTACGGGTTTTTGCTTGAACATTAAATTTAAAAATTTGAGAATTTTTTTATCCAAAGTAGTCATTTTTTGCGAATTTTTCCAATAAAATTTCTTTGAAGCATTGTAATTAATTGAAAATAAAATATTATTTATTTGATTCATATTTATCTGTCTTTATCTGACTTCGAGGTATAAATTTTACACGTTTTGAGTTAAAAAAACGTATTCAGTCCAGAGATATAGTGTAACAATGTTGCAGGGTTTCACAGACCCTGGTGTAGCCGGGAAGGTAACTAAAAATAACAATGGCGAGCTAGGGTTAAGCTTACTCTGTTGTTTTAAGGAAATGTAGTTTTCGAAGAGTGTGTTCCGAGTTATGCATGAAGCGCATGATGCGTCATTTGTCCTTGTTGTTTATCAATTAATAAAGAAGGATACAACTATATATCATGCGCTTCACGCGTAACTCGGAACGCATCCACAGTCAGATAATTCAATTTAATAGCAGTAAAAATATGCGTCATTAGATTTTATTATTTGAAAATGAGTGCTGGTTACTAACCGGAGACAGAGTGCAGGGTGCATTATCGGCCTCGTCGGTGCACGTCGACATTCTCCGGCGCCGTCTTCCGTTTCTTTTTTCTCTTCTCGTACTATAATCTTCTAAAATCCTCGTGCTTAAAATGCTTAAATGCTTGTTCTGGTCGGCTAAATTGTTGTCTTAGGAATCGCAGTTTCTTTTTTTTACGACGAAACCTTCGGCCTGATCTAGTCTTCGACTAGATGTCTACGTCTATGTAAATTAGGCATCGAGTATTATATCACAGGTTGCTGAGGGTTGTATGGCACGTTGTTTGAAGAAAAGCGGGCGATAAAGATCTGTAAGAAAACAAAAAGGAAAAAAGTTGCTTATGAGATAAGATTATCATGTCCATTAACATTGTTATCCATTTTCAGCAATAATTTATAGCTATTGATGACTCCTTTAAATACATTTTATCTATTCACCTTATCATAGCTAATCTAACGCGTATTTAACGACTGGAAAAACAAGATGAACCGGCAACTAGCGACTATCAGAGAAATGCAAACAGGTAACCCCATGTTTTCTCCGCATAACAAGTGGATGCCGGAACTGGAGAATCCACGTCTCGGTTTCGCCACGTGGCCCGCGGGAGGAGGAGAAGCTTCACGCACGCGGGATGCGTAAGCGTACTCCCGCGATCGGGAAACCGGAACCTGAGCGCGTGAGTGAGCGAGCAGGTTCGGCGTTATTCACTTATCGCCGGGCAAGGATCCGCGCGGATGTCGGTCAACCAGTCTGACACCGCGAATTCTACATCCTTGCGCGCGGTCTTGTCCAGGTGGATGGTTAGCAAAACCAGTCGGTTTGCTCTTCTCTCCGACTCGTTCATCTGCTCCTACTACTACGGTGGAGTAGGCGCGTGTGAGCGCGCGCGTGGAGGAGGGCGCGCGCGTAAAACTGGAATTCAGCTCGCGGGCACTGCTCTGACGGATAGACAGGTATAATAATAGACGTAACGAGGAAGCCGGACCATCGAGAGTGAACACACGAGACGGTGCCGGTTCTCCGTATCTTTCTCTTTCCTCTTTTCTATCTTTTTCTCTTTCTTAGACTGCGCGTCGTCAATAATGGAGACGCGGTGATGTTCGCGAGGAAGGAACAAGACTGGTTGTTAGAAAGAGGAAGAGAGATACCAAGAGGAACAAAGATACATCGAAGAGGGTGGCGACGGAAAGTAGGTAGGTAGGTATCTACCTACTACGCGGAAGAAGGAGATTGGGGCGACCAGGGAGAAGGAGTAGGTACGTACTGGTCCGGTATACAACCACGAACCGGAGACGAGAAGCCAGAGAAGCAGGTTCAGAGGAGCCGGTCTAACCTGATTCTCAAAGGGAACCCTGCATCAGATTGGACCCACCACCGTGGGTCCGTTTGTATTTCAAGTACCTGTACGCCCTCGCTTCGCGTCAGTGGACGATGCCTCTGGAGAACGGAGGACTCCGTCGAGTTGTACAAAGAGGAAGAAGCGTCTTCTTCCGTCAACGCGTCGCGCGAAGGCGATGTGTCTATCAGCGGCCAGACGCCTTGATCGTGCGTTACACCTGCCGCCGATAGATTCTAGACCTACCATCGCGGCGGTGTGCATCGCGGTGTTGCAGTCGTGCCGACCGCGATTTGGTCGGTTAGAATCCATGGCGTGCAGCTGTAACGGCGGAATTGCCGTTAAGTGCATCGAGAGTGAATTTCTTGAGATCTAGTGAGAGTTCCAGGTGATTCCCTTTGAGCACGGTACGGATGACGTCAGGATATGTTTATAATTTCCTAACACTTTTAAGGTGTTTACTTACACGTTGACCGTGATAAAGAGGCGCGGATTTTTTTCTCCGGCTTGCATCTATCACCTAAAGTTGATTTTTGCATAGCAATGTTACGTGCCACAAATCCTTTTTCTCCGACTTTATTAATCGTATCTATTTTTTTTAAGTGTGAGTGATTACTTGCCCTCGGACTCGTGATTTTTTTACGCGGCATAAACGATTGATTCGTGTTAGGACTAAGATTAGTGGCATTTAAGTTCTTATACCTATTTCATCGAGTTGCTATAGTTTGATAACTTAAACTATTATGACAATACTCTTGTATTTGTCGATTATCTTTTTGTAGCTCGTTTTAAGGATAGTTAAATGATAAATTATTGATCTAAGTTTCTTGTAATGATGCTGTAACGACACTCTTCTCATTCGCTCTTTTTTTTTTATTAATCAAGGATTATAATTCCGACTAAATTAGAATTATGTTGACTCTGAATTTTTTTTCGTTAAGTTTCCTGAGTAGAATTGAACGTAACACTAAAGGATATTTCTTTGTCTGTGGTATACCGTAACTGCAGCTTTTTTATGTTCGAGCGAGAATGGTTGGTCTATTATTTTCGTTTTGTGCCTTTGTAATCGACTTTGACCTCCGTATTCAATGAAGCAATGAAATATGGATTTTAAATAACCGAAAAGTTTTTAAATTTTTTCTAAAATTCAGGGCTTCAATTCATACCTAAACTTCTCGTAATGTTTTTGTCTTAGTAGGTTTTAGTAAACGGATTAGAATATCTTTGAGAAAAAAAAATAATGCCACAGCAACAATTCTTTAAATGTCTATGCATTGTGTATGTCACAGTCAGTGTTAACTCAGTAAATGTATATATTTACTAAGCTTTGCTGTAATGAATGTATTATACATTTACTAAACTTAACACTTTGTGACTGTGACATACATACCACATGCATTCATATCACAGTAAAGAGTAATTAAATGATGAAAAGAATATAACTGTAGTTCTAATTAAATTTTTAGCGATGTATGCATACATATATTTTTTCATTAATTCTAACTATTAATTTAAATCATTAGTTTTAACTATTAATTTACGCTTATATATATATATATATATATATAAATTTTGGTACACGAAACAAAACAGAGTTGTATTATTATAAAAATTATTTGTTGTCTGTAAATCTTTCTACTTATATAAAAATAGCATATAGCTACATGTAATTCTATAAATATAGCCACATGTATATTCTTACATTTTTAAGAAATATTTCAAGTAAAGAGAATTTATGTGTGTCCACAAATTCTTACTATCTCTTAGAGATCCTATCTATAGATACTATAAACAGCTATATCGTATATTACATATTGTAAAAGGTAACAATACGTTAAAATGTCGATAAATGACGAAAAGAAGTCAAAAAGAAAATACGAAGCATTTTGCCGGCAGAATATCGTGCAGTAACCTCATGGTCTACGATTCTTCGCGCCCACTTGTTCACCGGTAGGTCACCTGCACGTCACCTGTGCGTCATCGCGCAGGTAGCCCCCAGCTATTGACAAAGATGCGCGCGCTATAGTAAGGCTTAGACTATCGTAATAAAACTGATGACGATGTGAAGATAATACTCACTCATTAGGATCGTATTAAAAGGGAGGGAGGAGTGTCGTTGAGCGGTAGAGTAGCCGGCGCATTCGAGAGAAGCTGCTGATCCGGTGGTTGCTTTACCGGTGAAGTGGATTATCACACGTGCATGTGTACGAGGGGAGAGGGGGAGGTAGAGTAGGTGGTAGAAGTCACGAGGGGGCTAGTGGGGTAATGGGGTGATAGAGGGGGGAGATGGGGACCAACTACAAACTACTAAGTGTCCCTCCTATGTTCTGGATCACATCTCAACGGATGATAGTGTCACCACCTTCTCCATAGACCGAGGCGTCTGTCGTCTTAACGAATTCGCTGATGTTGGGACTACTCTTCTCTCGAGGGCATCCTTCTTCGGGGGCCCGCAGTTGTCCGTTTGGTTAACTCTCGTTCTTGATCAGTGAAGCTGTTGGTTCTGTGAAATATTTCGGTAAGAAACTCTCCTTTGAGCGCGTACGTCTGCTCACCTGATGTCACAACCGCGATTCACTACGCGCACATTATTACGTTGACATTTCTCCGAGTCTCAAGTGTCACATTCGGTTCTTCCGTATTCGTTTCGATATTTTTAGCGTACCGCTAAAAATCGATGATCCGCAAATTCGTGCGTTAGGATCCTATGGGACTTGTCCGTATCCTGTTTGTACTTTCAATCGCATAATCGCGCACCGGCTTGACACACACTCGCACGTTCACGCGCCCGACAACGATGACGACCGTCGCATACAATCACTGAGAAACTTGAAAACTTAGAAACCGAACTAAACTATACGAAAAATTTTGGAATTTAAACGTTTTTAATAAAAAAGACTAGGACTCACTAACTTTGCCTGAAGCAACAAACAGTATTTTAACCGTTAAAACCTTGGGTTGGACCACTAAACCCAGCAGCTTCACGGTGCTCTCTCGGATCGTTCTTTCGCCTCTCGAGATCAGCAATATGGCCGTCGTCGCTGCCGCCTCCCAGCATCACGCTGTTAGCTCCGTGCTTCGAATTCCCCCCCTCCCTTCCATTCGCGTCTCACACACGATCGCGCGTCTCTCTACCGCCTGCCCTCCCCCCTCTGTCTCTTTCTCTCTCTCCCACTCGTCCCCATTCGCGTGTTTTCCGTCTACGGTCTCTCCATCCTCCCTCGCTCCAGAGCTTCGTCCTCCTCTCCTCACTCTCGCTCTTGCGTTTACCTGTGCATAACGCCTTCCCTTAGAGACTATCTCCCTTCGGCGTTTGCATTTTTTTTCTTTCTCTTTCTCTTTCTTCCGTTTCTTTGCCCTCCCACTTCTGATGGAGAAAGACAGAAAAGATGAAGAGAATGGTAGAAGACCCTCAAACTCCTCTGACGAGCCATCGTTTCTCTCTTTCTTTCTTTCCAAGTGTTCTCCCAAGGAGGACGGTGAGAGTGGTCGGTTGTGAGACGATCGCAAAGTGCAAGTGGATAAGAGACACTGTTGAGAGAGAGAAAGAGGGGGGAGGAGAGAGAAAGACAGATGAATATTATAGGCACAGGTAGGAGGCTAGTGGGGTACAGGTAGCCAGCACGACAAGGACAGTCTTGTAGCTCTCGCAGACGAGTGCGACCAGGACGGAACTATCTCTTCGCGACGTGTTACACAGATACAAACAGAACATCGAATCATCAACAAGGCGGGATCCTGGCCACCCGGCATTATCGTGTTTCTGTAATCATCTCTCTCTAACGTATTGCTTCTTCATCTCCTCCTCTTCGTTCAGCTACCTTTCGAGAGGGATACCTGACGAGAGTTGCCGCGGGAGGAACGAAGATGATCGAGGTGTACGCACACGTGCATCATCACATCTCTCCGTCCAGCTTCACCGTCTTTCTGGCTTGTCTCTTTCTTTCTTCTCCTCTTCTTTCCTGCCTCCTCTTTTTCTTTCCCTCTCTCTTTCCTTTTCGTTCTCTCGCTGGTTTCAGCTTCGAGCCGCCTTGCTAACTTGAGAAGGATACACGCGGTCGATGGTCCAAGCGGGACAAAGACGACCGCGCAGTACGTTATCGCGGCGTCTTGGCGTCCTTCTTATTTCGGACTTCATTCTCGTAGCTCTGTCCCGCTTCGGCTTTACTACTTTGAGAAGGGTAGCCGCAGAAAGGACCGCGATATAGAAACGAGAAGGAGGACACGCACACGTAAGATTATCGTATCTGAGCCCTGGCCGCTTCTACCTTCTCTCTCCCCCTTGTCCTTCCCGCTTCGATTTTATAACGCTCGCTCTTTATTTTGCCACCTTGAGAAGGATATCCACATACCACAAACCGTATCCGAAAGGGATGTCTAACAGAAGGACGTGAAATCATTTCACCGAACATACGCGCTAAACAGGCGTCGGCCGAATGATATTGGATGTCTTATGGAACGGAAAGATATCTTAGATACATCTCTCTGTTATAAATTTTTGTTTTGCAATAGTATCTTTTTTTATTCGGCCTATCTCTACGCGGACTATAAAGAAAGCTTCTTCTGCCTGAAACTGTTTGCCTTGGATGATCGAGGCATCTTTCCGAGTCATCGTAAGGCAGACGCGCGTACGCACACATCAAGTCTTCTCCTCTCATCTCTCTCGTCGAACGGACGTGGCGAACGCAATGAGCGAAAGAGAGAGAAAGAGAATGAGAGAAAAAGAGCTTCTTCTTTATGGAAAAGAGAGCTCTATCGTCTCGTCTCTTCTTCCTTTCTTTTTACCACCATTGCGAGAAAGGTATCTACGAGAAAGATTCGCTGAGACGAAGTACGTTCATATATGTACGTCCGATTGATTCTCTCTTATACGGGTAAGAGACGTCTACGCTGGACGCCGGATGCCGAAGAGAGCGAAGTTGCTGCCGGTGCTGCCGTAGTTGCGCGAACGGAGATGGACTCGGGATTGAAAGAGCAAGAGACATGAAGGAGGGGAGAACGGAGGGGATGGAGATGGAAGAGGAGGGCGTGTGCGTGAGTCCATGATGAGACGAAGAGAAGGAGAGATGAAGAGAGAGAGAGAGAGAGAGAGAAGAGGAGGAAAAGAGAAGCTGCATGAGCGACGAAGAGAACGGGCGTTGGCTACGCTACACGAAGGGAGATTAAAAGGAGAAAAAGAACATGGAATTAAAAGAGGAAAAAAAGAGGGAAGTCGGGGAGCCTAAGGGAGGGAGAGAAAGAGGGAGGAGAGAGGAATACGAGGAGGGAGAGAGAGAGAGAGAGACCTCGTGAAAAATGGGCACCCAGCAAGAGAGGACAGCCTCGGGCTACGTCGCGCGATGCGACCCTGCTCAGGGAGGGATTCGTTCCTCGTTCGTTGGACTCCGAATGCGCCTATGTGGATCCGACCAATCGACGTTTAATCGCTCGTAGGCTAGCCCAAACGTTTTCCTGGGATGAGAATTTCGAAAGATACGAGTCGAACGGTCTGAACCAATTTGAATTCTTCGAATTGCGCTTGAATCTTCTTCTCGGTATATATAGCTCGAACGCAATGCTTTCCGTGGATAAAGATAATTCAAACCCGTGCGCCTCTTTCCGTGGGAATCGTCACGATCTCAGCACGCTTGTGCACAGCGTGGGTGGCTATGCACACACTTGCGTAGGTGGGTCGAATGGTAGAAGAGGAGAAGGGAGAAACGACGATCTTTGAGAGGGGTGAAATCCCTCATGCGCGTGGTTCGAAATACTTTTCTTCCGGCCGATTTCTTAGCTCCACTTTCATGGTCCACGGCGTATTGTGTGTAGCGAATCAAGTACAAGCATATCCTGTATCGGCGAATGCGCCAGCAGAACTAACTGCAAGAGAATCATCTTTTAGCATCTCGTTAGACGAAAGATTGGTCCCGGACGAGCGCGCTTACGCGTGGCTTTCTACTATTGATGTCGTGAAAGCAGATCGAAGTCCGATTCTCGCCGAGAAAATCCCTCCTCTGTTCTTCGTATCTATCGACGCGCGCGCGTAGTCGTAAAGTCGCGCCCACCTTTCCGCCGTATATCTCTCACGCCGACGGGATAAAACGCGCTCACTAGCCACATATTTATGCAGATCACAAAGCGTGTCGGAAAGCATGCGAGGAAGTGTCCATAATTCAACTGAATCAAAGACAAACTTTACTTTTCGAGTGACAACGCGTAGAATAGTTCGATACTTCTCATTCTTAATGTTAGATTATCGCCATCCTTTGACCTATTACGTAAAATATTGCGCAAAGTTTTTGCTTTCGCAAGACAAAAACACTTCGTTCAAAGAATATCCAAATTCATTAAATATATATTATTCTGTTAACACAATTTAGTAAATTCAAAGAAAGGTATCTTTCCATAATTTACATATATTTTTTGCAAGAGTGAAATTGCCGCTGGTATTCGAGAAGGGGTTAAAGTTGCGCGCGGTTGTGAATACATCATATGCTCGTTTCAGCAGAAGCATCCACTGGTGATTCTGTCGTAGGCCGCGTCACCCGTAATTACGCACATCCCTCTGAATACCTGCCGACATGTTATTATCGGCGAAATGCGCGTTCTCCTTGGCAAAATGCTCATTTGTCACGTGTACTGGAATGGAAGGGGTGAAGGGCGCGAAAATCATGCTCGGTTCATTATAATCTTATCGTATCTACGCATTCCCGCTTCTTCGGCGCGAGCGAAACAAAAACCTCCGATTCGTGCTCGGATCTGTGGTCGCTTCGTCCTTGTATTTCCTTGACGACAGACTTCTCGATTATCATAAATGGTTCTAATAAATTAGAATAGCTTGATAGATAAGACTTGACGGATAAGAATAGAATATCTCTAAGAAAAGATAACGATTAATTTACAAAGAATGGATCTATTGTGCGCAGCTTAAATAAATTTTAAAGATCTTGTTTTTTATTTCAGGCTTAAAGCTTGTCCCTACAAAATGGATCGTACTGGACGACTTCGAGGGGACGAGCCTTTATATCTCTCGCTTTTAACGACAATATTTTATATTAATAAATGTGGTGGATTTCAACAGGTTTATTTTGCATACTTAACAAAAGTAAAAGCGTATTCTAGTTTCTTTTTTGTATAATTGTTATTAGATAAAATACAAGATTTTAGATTTTTTTATAGAATTTTATATATACATATTTATATTTAGAATAGTTCTACTTAATTTAATTTACATATGTTATCCTTCGTTTTTCACAATGTTAAATAGCAGAATAAAATTTCTACATAAATTAATATGAAATTAAATATATTAATAAAACCTGTAATATGTTAAAAAATTTCCAAAGAATAGAAGTATGTATACGTCAATCAACAAATTTAGCGATATGGTGAGAATATCGGATTATGGCTGAGAATGTATTGACACATTGTATTTGCAAAATCTCCGATTTGCATCGATTCACTTCGGATGAAATTTTATTTATAAAGAATAATTTAACTGCTATTGTTCCTATTATTAATACTACGTTACGTGTAAATGCAATATCGTTAAATAAATTAAAAGCGTAGTCCAGATTCTTATCAATCTATGGCACTTTGTCTCAATATCCAATAAGTTTGTTTTTTTTTAAGCTGAATTTCTTGCACGGTTCATCTTTTCTCTTTTTCTCTCCAACGCAGAGAGAAAAGGAAAAAAGATGAACCGTGCAAGAATTTTAGCTAAAAAGAACAGACCTATTCTTTGACCTGCTTGTGTTGAGTGCAGTTCATCGGCATATAGTATTGAACGGAGCATAGCTACGAAACCATCTTGACACACCTAGAAAGAGATGGAATAATATATGGATAGAATACACTACAGTTCTCCCTCTTCTGAAACAAATTTTGACCAATAGAAGAATAATAGAGAAAGAGAGTTTC